CGTTCCTTCTCTGATCCCTCCTCCTTTACCTTCTCCCTTCAACTACTGGACTGGTAGATGCCTCGTGAAAATACCCCTGGACCCTCGCAGCGAGAGCACGTCTGGTTGACAACAGCCCCGTAACCATTGTGAAATAGGCGAGCAGGAGGTCCTGGTTGATGACTCAACTATGGCGTCCCTTCAGATGGCCTTACTACTGATTAAAAAGTAGTTCTAAATCTTATGGTTATCTCCTGTTTTTTACATTCCTATAGGTATTTGCGAGCTTTTAATGTGGTTTGCGACAGTCAGTGCCGGCACTCGACCACCGAGTCGCACTCATTTGCTCTTCACAACAGCACTGTTGTGGTCAACACACGTCAACGACATACGGCGACTCACGCGACTCCCGTCGCTCACGACGTTGTCGCCGCTCACTGTCGCGCCATCGCGTCGCGCGACGGCTGGCAGCAACGATCAGCTGTTTCGTGCAAGCAAAAGTGCAGGAGGTCGTTTCTAGGACGTGCTAAACAGAAATGTTGATCGTCAAGTGCAATCTCTTCCTCAGCGATAAACTCAAGTGCACACATTCATCCATTCATCCTGCTCTTTGATCATTCCAACATCTCACAAACATTTGGAAATTTCCTACTTTCGAACCTGAGCGATGATCAATATTGATTTTCAGCGACAATTGGCTGACAAAATCACCAACTACGCATCGCTTGATGAAATCCGAAGTCTGTTAGTCTGCGGCGCACAGGTGAGTGCTCTTCGTACCCATTTCACAACTTATGCCGTCTCCCTAGCGCGTATAGTCAAGACAGGCCTTGATTCTGCGCGCGTAAAATCGATACTAGCTCTAATTATGCACTGGTTTGAGTTACACAAAACACTAGACAATCGGTGGTCTTGTCCATTCTAGTGCGGGTAAAGATTACCTAAATGTCATCGGTCAGGGTATGAATTACCCAAAAAATCAGGGTTGTCTTACTTTCACAGGCTCTCTAGCAATAAATCAGCCTGTGATGAGTTGTTGCTGTTTATTTGCGTACCCTGTCTCGTCTCACGGCCATGAATTGTGTTTTTATAGAGCCATTGACCTTGGGCTAGTTTATCGCTCAAACACCAGTAGATATGCTGCTCAGTGCAGTGTGTGCGGAATGTTTTGAAAAGCGTACTTTTTCAAGTGATTATTTGATTAGGACGGATACACTCTACCGTTACCTGCCACACCCATGACTTAAAGTCCAGTCGTCAGTCGCTTGCATTCTACCATCGCCGTGGTACAGTGTCCGGACCAGTCGCTCAGCTCTGAGGGGGGGGGGCGTAGCAGGAACATTGCGGCGAGAAGCGTCGCTATCCTTCTAGGAAACCCACATTAGCCGAACCTTTTAGCGACACATTCCGTGCTGATTCAATATTCCCACAAATGAATTCAAAATATCTGCTAAAGGGTTTCCATTTGTGTCTCTCAGTGCTACCGTACTGCTCAGAAATGATATTATGTAATTTCTGCGGACGGTGCGGCGTCATGAGTACGGCTGCGTCTGGCGCGGTGCCAAACTTCTCTTCACCAGTTGTTGAAGCGGGCAAGTGACAATACTGTATCATATCCTTCGTATTACTCGTTTTCTACCACTTTTTGTCGCATGCGCGTTTCAACAAGAAGGCAGAGAACGGCTTTGACGGGGTGACACACTCATACTGGCTGACACGCCCAACCGTCCGCAGCGAACTAGAGTGTAGCTGTCTTACATTCACAGGTTCTCTAGCAGTAAGTCAGTCTTTGATGAGTTGCTGTTTGTTTGACTTGGCCTTATTGACTTAGCAGTAAAGAGAAAGAGTCTTCAAAACCGTTGGAGGGTCCGAACAAGGCTCTCGGTTGGACGAGTATTCGAGGAGGTGAGACATTGCTGCGCGGACGAGGGGTTAGATACAAGTGATAGGAGAACGGGAAGCCGAACGGAACGATGAGTGAGGCGGTGGAGATCAGTCCTGCACGGAATGAAAGTGGTGGATAATACCTGTGTCTATATAAGGACCGTCTGGTGTCATCTTTCGTCACTATTTAGATGGGTGAGGCAACTACAGGTAGCTTTCGTTCGGCTTACGGCTACCACAAAAGGAGGCGGAGGTGATGTAGTGGCAAGTGGCACCACCACGCGCAAGGTCCGGTTATCAAATCCGGTGTCGGTTCCCGCCCAGACCAACCAAGCCTTCTCCCTCTCGGGGACGGTAAATTGGTACCAGATTCGTCTGGGAGGATAAAACACTGACTTGTACATCGGCTGGCCCCGCAAGTCATTGTATAGGCCACATCGCATTCAATAAGCCACTACGATTCTGAATGGAAGTAGAATGCGTGCCGCATCCCACAAAGGGATTGATCATGGTGAAGACTTTATCCTTCCATCCTCAGGGCTACCATAGCCCCCTCGTCACTCACTGTCCAGTCGTGAAAGTGGGATAACCTTTGAAGGGGTGATGAGGGGGCTACAGTGAGTGACGATGGGGACGGGACAACTTGCATAGGGAGGTTCCGACTATCCTTTAATCGTGGAAT